AAGACTCATAATTCATACCTGACAATGTCAGCTCTCTGGATTCCTAACCAAGAAGTAAGTAAAAATCATCGTTGAAGTGGCAGCCATCATCAATGTCAAAAAATCCATAAAATCCAGAGTTGCGACTTGCTCCCAGTTTATATTTAAGTGTCTTCCACCTTCCTCTGTCCTTTTTTGTTCTTATGTCCACCTTCTAACTACTGCTATTCTAACCCCCTGCCTATTGTTTTCTCTTGTCTTAATTCTAAGATTCTTGAAGTAAGTATCGTGTTTCCCATCCCAGCTTCTTGATGTCCCAATTAGTCACTTCCCATTCACTACTATACCTGCAGCAGCTTGACTCATCCCCTTCCCTCTGTGTATTGCCAGATCCAGCAGACATTTCGCAGGCTGCTTTAATGTTTTACACTGTTTCCCTATCCTACCTAAGTGTAATTCTTTCCTTCCTTATATTCTGTGGCACCATTTTTTCCACCTGCCTTTTTCTTTTTTTAACTTTTCTTTCCTATCTTTCAAATCATTATACTTCCAAAGGATCTCTCTCTATACCTGTTTTTATACTATTTACCCTAACTTATAAGTCTTTGTCCGTGAATCTACCGCTTAGGTTCATCAAACCACTTGGTTGAGACACAAGCATCTTAAAATTCAGTATGTCCCAAACTGAGCATCCCTCATCCACACACCCTTGGCTACCTCCAACACTCTCCTCTCCTAACACACAACTACAAGTAAAACAAAAGTGAAAAGCATGTATTTTTCCTCTTGTGTTCTTTATGATGAATTGTACCAGCATTTACATAATCAAGTATGGAATTGGAAACCATTCTGTGATCTCTGCTGTAGCTTCTGCATCCATTTCTCTTAATTGGATCTCTGGTCTGTCTCTTCTGCATCTGTACATTTACTTAACCCAATTCAGTACCATGGTTTGGGGCCCAGTGACTAATAACACCTCTTAACTAACTGCTTCTCTCTGCTGTCATGTCTGAGACAGACATCCTGTTTAAAACTCAGCAGTTGATTTTTGTTATTCATCAGGATAAGGCCAAACTGCCTAGGAAGATAACAGACCTTTGTTGATCAGTCCTAAAATACTTTTTCTTTTCTTTTTTTTTTTAAAGATTTATTTTATTTATTGGAAAGTCAGATATACAGAGAGGAGGAGAGACAGAGAGGAAGATCTTCTGTCCGATGATTCACTCCCCAAGCAGCCGCAACAGCCGGTACTGCGCCTATCCGAAGCCAGGAACCAGGAACTTCTTCCGGGTCTCCCACACAGGTGCAGGGTCCCAAGGCTTTGGGCAGTCCTCGACTGCTTTCCCAGGCTTCAAGCAGGGAGCTGGATGGGAAGTGGAGCTGCCGGGATTAGAACTGGTGCCCATATGGGATCCCGGGGATTTCAAGGCGAGGACTTTAGCCACTAGGCCACGCCGCTGGGCCCTAAAATATTTTTTCTATTTTCTATCATCCAAGAAAGAATACCTTGTGCTCCATTGTTATGACTATTCTACTCTGCTTGCAATTCCTTTGAAATGCCATGTTCTGTCACCTGCCATATTTTTGTCTGTGCTGTTTCTTAAAACTGTAATCCCCTTTCCCTATTACCTACACGATTACTTACTATTCATCCTTTAAAACTCAGATCCAGTATTACCTTTTCCAAGTGTGTTGTGTAACAAGGTCGACTTTTAAGTGTGCCTCTGCAACCCTTTCATGATATGTTGTATGTTGCCTGGCCCCTATTGTGGCTCATTTTGGAAGTTACAGCCACTGATTTTCTTGTCTAACTCTCACACTAGACTAAGGATCTCGAGCCAAACAATTATATCATCAGAGCCAGCTTATTTCTCTTTTCCCACTATTGAACAATCCAACTCTATTATGCATTGAGTTCTTATGCTTGCCTTGTGTAGTTGCTTGTTTGGTGACTTAGTACTTCAGAGACTGCAGTATTCCAGGCATTTCACTTCTTTAACACCATCACATTTTGCTTATGAAAGCTCACAGCCTGATCATCAAGAAGGGGCTACTTCTATTCTTTATCTTCTGCTTAAGAAATCAGGGAAGTACATGATTATTCTATGTATAAAATGACTGCATTTTTTTTTTGCTATGCAAAAAGGTATACTTTGCTTATTTTGAAAGTCATTTTTGTGGGACATCTCATTGCCTATAATGAATTCCAATGATTTGTTACCTTCATATAAAAAACAAAGCATGCATATTGAGAAGTGCTGTCATTGAAACTTAAAATTGACCAGTTTGAAATTTTGTCATTGTTTGTTCTCAATTGTCCTCTCTCCACATCTAGCTCAAGACTGCAGTGCAGATGACGACAACTTCCTGGTACCCATAGCGGTGGGAGCAGCCTTGGCAGGAGTACTTATTCTAGTGTTGCTGGCTTATTTTGTTGGTCTCAAGCGCCATCATTCTGGATATGAGCAATTTTAGAACCTGTAATCTGATTATGTACAAATATGTTCAGATAACAAGTTTTTTTTTTCTTGCCTCTTGGTGTTTGAAACACTTTGCTACTTAAAATTGATAGTTGAAACTTTAATTCTTGAATCAGACCCAACATTTTGAGGTCAGTCTTTATTAATTAATAAAATCTGTTTTTGATCAAGTAAAAAATCAAAAGTATTGTATTTTCTAGGCCTGCAGACAAACTTGTTAAGAAGAGCATCAGTGTGCAATGTTTTAAGGTCTATATTAAGTCTTGGCCAAATTTTGATCCTAACCTAAGATGCCTTAAGCCCATTAACGTGGCCATTTCTAAGAATGAAATATGTAGTTGTATCTTTCTTAATGAAATTAATAAATACTGTTTCACTACCAGTGTTCTGTTTCAATGTGTAAGAACTGTGCTGATTTAAACTCATTACTGTGCCTTTGCATATAGTTCATTGAATAAATATTGATGTGGCATAAATGTCCATCAGATATGCTCACATCTGGTTAATTGCTGAGATTGAGAATGTCCTCAAGGCCATCAGCATTTTTAGGCTATATGACTTTCTTGGTTTTGATAAAAAGAATGTAAAAACTCAGGCTTGTAGTTTTTCATTAGGTAATAAAAACAGACTCAATATAACAGAGCTGAAAGTGGCATTAGAATTTTTAGAGCTTTTTTAAAAAAGGATTTCTTACATTTGACAATATAGACTATGATCATTCAAGCATATTTAACCACTTGCCTTCTTTGCTTTGTGTTTTGCTCACCTTTGGATCCCTGATTAGAATTGAAAGATAGAAATATTGTATGAACTAATTAGGACAGATTGTGTTGTGTTTCTCGACTTCATCTTGTTGATCTCTAGAGTATTAAAATCTAGTTAGTGTTGTTACCTGACTGGCACTTACGAAATGTAAGCTAACAACAATCTCAAAAGGAAGGCAGTGGAGCTTGGCAGCTAGGCTCTGACTTCTTTGAGACAGCCCCTGTGGGACATAGCATAGATAAGGGTGTGAGAAAGATGCTGTTGATGTTCAAAATGGGCTTAATAATCGGACCTATCAAAACATATTGCATGATATAAGTGTAGGATAGGTATGTAATACATAAAAAAGAGTAAAACTATTAAGATGAGACTCTTCACATTGGAGTAATTGTTTTATTAATTCATTTTGTGTGTGGCATGTTGGCTTGCTGAGAGTTTCTTGACATCCAGCTATCAATCTTTGAGGAGCTTCCAGTAAATACACTACTTACTATCAATGCAGGCTAATATGGTTACTGAAAATCATGTTACATATTCAGAACACTAGCAGCATTTTTATGGGTGGGAGAAAGTTATAATTATAAGAAAAATATATATTATTCCTAATGAGAAACACCAAATGTCAGATTCTGTTAAATGCATTAAACCTTAAACATTATTTACTATAACCCTGTACTTTTACTCAAATAGAAGTAACTTCACTGAGGTTACATATTTAACAGGTATTATTAGCATTTTGACAAAAATTACCCTAGTTAAAAAACAAAACAAACAAAACCCTTCTGGCTTAAGCTTCTGAACTATTTTGCTGAAGTATTTTTTTAAGACCTGAATGTTGGCCTTTCGCAATAATGTTAGTAAGGCACTGCTACTTTGATCTTTAGTATTTTGAACCTAGACTTTCTCAGATAGGATTATGAACATAGTTGGAGAAAAAGAGACGAGGATGAACATTTATTGACTATCTGCTGTGTGATCAGATGCTTTACAAATATAATTGTATTTAATCCTCACATATTTTATAATTGTTATTGTCTTCTTTTTGCAGATAAGAAAAGTGAGACCCAGTTTAAATAACTTGACCCACGTGCCTTAGCTAGTATTTGGAGTCAAGATCCAAATTCAGTTCTGTCTGAATTCAAAGCTTAAAATCTACGTTACATACATTGCATACATTGCCTTTCTCTTGGGTCAGTGGAAAGGGCTGTAGTCTTTTATCTTTTGCTGCTATACTTCCAGGCTGCTGTCAGCTAAGGATGATTATATATAGAATCTGGTGGCTCACTAATACGCATGTAAAAACAGATTAGGCTGCATTTTCTTGATACTAAGCTTTTTAAAACTTTCATTTTATTTTTACAGAATTCTTATTTATGATTTAATGATAGATGTTGCAAGAGAGAAAGGTGTGGGGAAGTGCACAGGCAGCTCCTATCACTGTTTGATGGGATTTGGGATGAAATGATATTGAAAGATGTAGGATGATCAGTTGCTTAGAAATGTTTGAATAAAATGAGAGCATATGAATAGAAAGATGCTTCAGAAAGTTCCAGGAAATAGAATAAATTCATTTTGGATGCAAAGCATTTTGAAACTCGTGAGCATTTTTTTCCATAATAGGCATTCTCATGAACTTTTTGAAGCTCCTTCATATGCATGGATGGGGTAATGGTATAAAACTAACCTAAGTACGCTTTCAAAAATGCTGGTTTCTTATTTCTACTTAATTGCATTCTTTACTAATTTCCTTTCCCTGCTCTCTGTTCTTTCTGACAGCTGAAGAATGTTCTGCTGACTCTGACCTCAACTTTCTTATCCCTGTTGCAGTGGGTGTGGCCTTGGGCTTCCTTGTAATTGTTGTCTTTATTTCTTATATGATTGGAAGAAGGAAAAGTCGCACTGGTTATCAGTCTGTGTAATCTATTGAATCTTTGGCATCAGAAGCTATATTTCCATTGGCTAAAAGCCAGGAAATGCTGTGCAATAGACTGTTTAAGATATGCAGACTAACCTCACTTGGTGAGTTGCTAGTAACTTGGGCATGAGTAGCACTTATTTAAGAAAAAAAATATATTATGACCACTTTTTCTCTATTTTGTTTCTCTTCCTTTGTTGAAATGTAATTGAAAGAAAAACTATGGCTTAAAGTATGGTTTTTAAAATAAATAATGATTTTCAGCCTCTGGATCCTAGTATAAAAGACTTTCTATTGAAGTATAATTTTATATGTTGCAGTTACTTGCATTTTGCTACTTTGATGTTATTTGCAAAATCAAAGCTGTTAGTGAATTTAACTTGCTTTAGGAAATAAACTGAAGGACATAAGGAATTCATTTTCATTGGTGGTAAACATAAGATTTGGTTCATTGTAAGATTTCCCACTTCCTAATCAGGAAGATTTCAATATTTGTATTTATGTTCGTTAAAAAGCAAGTGCTTCTCAATATTGAACTTAATATAAAGTCTGACTGTTTTCTCCATTATTGTTGGTGACCACTGTGTTTTAACAAGGATGCCTTTTTCTTTGATCTCCTGAATTTGGAATGTATTGATTTCCTCAAATTTCACACTTATGCTGAAGGATAAAGTAAGACCTTCAGCTTTTTAAAAACATGCTGATGTAGAATGGGCTGATTTTTAAAAAATATTGTGATTTATAATTTTCCCCCTCAGCGCCTTAACTTTATACAGAAAGTTAATTTATCCTTTTTCTCCCTATAGTGTTTTTGTTTGTTTATTTCTGTTCTTTCTGCCCTCTTACTTCCTATTTGAATAAGTTCTAATTGATTTAAAAAAAAACATACTGATTTCCTTTGTTCTCAACAGCAAGTGCTAGCTCTAGAAGCAAGCACTGTGTCATCATTCAGATGGCTGACTAGCAAAAACTGGACAGAGATTAATCTGTGAATTTGTTGATCTTGATACAGATACAGATTTATAAACCTGTAGAGACCTCTAATGGCTCTGGTTTCTAGAGTAAAGTACCAGAGACTATTCATTCATTCCTGTGTCTATTTGAAATATTTTTTTAAAATTTGGAAGTATAGTGTTTTGGTTGTTTAGCATCCAAATGGCTTTTTGGCATGCCTGTCGTTAGCATAGGCAGAAGTTAATTTTACTATGCTGTTCTATCTACGCGGTTTATTAAAAACTAAAGCTCCCAAATGTCTGCCTTCATTTCAGAAATTTTCCTTGGTTTTAAAGTTAAGTCTTAGACCTTAAAAAAGCTTGTTATTACATCTAAGGAGAAGTCCTAATCTACCTCTCAGTGCAGTGCAGATGCTCAGTTCTGCTGTGTTGAAACCATTACCTGATCAGTATCTTTCTTGACTATCTTATCTATATGCCCAACTCAAAAGCATATATTCCAAAATGTCTCTAAGTATGTAAAAATGTTTTCTTCTAAAATATTCTCTGAAAACCTGTTGTTTGCCAAAAGGAATTTAGTTAAAATGATGGTACCATAAAGAGCAATGGTTTTATTTCAATACCTATTTTTGAGATGACTATCTAGAACCCAGATTAGTTCAATTGGCTGGTAACAAGTATCTTAATTGGAACTTTAGATATTTCAAAATTGTAGATTCCTTCAAAGTTTTTTATGTTTTGGGACAGATACTTATACCACTAATTTTCATTAGGTATTATAGCTTTATCTTAGATCCTTAGAAAATGTGCTTAATTTATCAGAAATTAGAATATAAAATATTAACAGAGGGCCAAAAGAAAAGCTTTGACTTCAGAAAAATGCAAGAAATTTGAAGTCTATGAACTGAATGTTCACTGAATTCATTTTATGTCAGTACAACAGTGGATCTGGAAGTGGCACTTTGATCTCATGAGTAAAATTGTTTTTCACCTAGGCTTCTTTGAAAGAACTGATACTTGCTGCTATCTAAAGTTCTGAATATATTAACTTAGAGAACTAAATCATATCTATAAAATTATATTGTGGTACTCCTGTTTGATATGATATATGTGATTTTAGATTGATGGATTAAAAAATAATAAAGATCATACATTCCATACTACTATGGAAAACTTCATATTTATTCTCTGTGCTCAACCTTAAGAGCTTAGGTTGATTTGTGCAGTCTAAGTTTCTTAAATTTTAGTCTCTTGAAATCATAATTTCATAGGTATGTACCTTAGGAAAGTGTTAGAACCTAAAGTACAGACACTTCAAATACAGGGGCCTGAATGATCACAAAAGCTCCCTCCCTCCCCCCCCAAAAAATTGATAATAAAATATGGAACTGAGAAATCTAAAAGCTTCTTAATAAATGTATTCACACCTTATGTCTGTACATTGCACAACTATATGCATTGTTCATGTTATTCTGGGTAAGATAGACCGTGAAGATATGGCAGGAGCAGGAGAGACACTGTTCATGTTCTAATTGTTTTAGATTCCTTAAAACCTAACCTAAAGCTCAATTGTCATATGATTGATTTCAATGACAACCCATGCATTGGACATACTTTTTTTTTTTTTTAACAAAAGGGATGCTTTTTGGTGGGAGAAGGAATTGAACATTGGCTGCCTTCATAGTTTCTGAATAATAGTATTTCATAATCTGTTTGGACATTTAATAACGTTTAGGTGAAATGTCATTATGCAGATGTAGCACTATAGAGGACCTCTTTTTCTTGTTGCATCTCTCATGGAATATATGTCACAACTCTGCACATCATAGGTGCAAAAAGGAGCATTCCATGTTCATCGTGTGCATTCTGAATGCTTGTACTGCCTCTAGAATTCTGATGTAATGGTTTTTTATTTTCCTTGCTTTTACTGTGTATGTATTTTGATGGTATTGCAAATTCAAATTCCATTGTTGCAAAAGGCACACAAACAGGAAAAATCTTGGTATGTGATGCAATTCAGTAGGAAAAAGTAGCCGCAAGTGTTATTGAGCAGCCCCACTGCTGTGTACTATACACATAGTATTCATTTCATTTAAATACAGCAGCCCTTTGGAGTTGGGTGATAATCTCCAATTTATAGATGAAGTAACTGAAGCCTGAGTTGTTTACTTAACTGAAAAGAAGAACCTGCTAGTACCTGACTGTTGTGTGTCACATGAACCTTGCGGGGAAACGTGCACTATTATTTCAGTTACTGAAACTCTACGAGTGTACCTGGAGCCCTAAGTGGTCCTTTCCCACTTTTGACAGTATTTCTTTCTCGCTCTGCAACTTTCCATGTGCTGGGTAAAGTCTAGCATAAGATTGGAGCCACAACAGTGGAGGGGTCTATGAGAGAATATGTACTTTGTGTATATGAGGGGACTTCACAAAGCTGGTAGAAACTGAATGAAAAGGTTAATTTATTTTTGTGCAATAAATTTTGAAATTCATGCATGTGCAGTATGTACATGTATGTACTTTTTGCATTTGCATGTATGAAGTAAACACATTAAACAATAGTCATCTCCAGGATTTCAGATTATGGATGGTTTTAATTACTTTTATAGTTCTCTTGTTGAATTCAGTTTACTGTGGTTGTCAGAAAGGCCTCAGGAAAATGATTTCCAGTGAGTGGATTTTTAATCTCCATAGCTCTTGTGTTTTGAGCAGATATAAGAGCTGGTCTCATGAAAATACAAAGCTTTCCATGCCAATCAGATGTCAGGATGCTCTACTTTGAAACATGTTTTTCCTTTTTTAAAAAAAAGTTTAAAAATCATTTACTAATGTATTTGAACGGCAGTTACACAGAGAAGCAGAAAGCAGCATTCCATCCAGTCCCTAAATGGCTGGACCGCTCGTCCTGGGCTGGCTGAAGGCAGGAGCTTCTTCCAGGTCTCCTATGTGGATTCAGGGGCCCAAGCAAGGACTTGGTCTGTCTTCTGCTGCTTTCCTCCACATCTGAAGTGAAGCAGCTGGGACTCAAACTGGCACCCATAAGAAATGCCTGTACTGCAAGTGGAGTCTTAGTCTGATACACTACTCTGCCAGCCCCTGAAACATGTTTTTATCAAGAACATTTATTTTACAGTGTTCATTTGTTCAGTCAGTTGGCATATAGTCATGCACAGTTCTCTTGCCCCCCAAAGGGATGTAGAGGTACAATTGCCATCTGTGTCCCTATAAAACCTGGGAGGTACCTCCTTCCATCTCAGGACCCAGCCATGTGCTGCGTGCGGAGGCTCCCACTTGGAGCTGCTACTAGCAACTGAGAGAGATGCATAGGAGTCTAAGAGTTGATGGCAAGGGGCTCCATGGCAGTGGGGTTGGGGAGCATGTCGCCACATGCCGCTCTCTTTTTTAAAATTTTATTTTAACTTCTTTTTAAATTATTATCATCATTCTATGATACAGTTCCATAGGCCCTGGGATTTCCCCTACCCTCTTCCCAAGTCCCCTCCCCCCACCACCAAAGTCCCCTATATTATTACTATAGTGTAGCTCTTCATAAACAGTCACATGTTCATTGTTACGGGCATGGACACTGGCAGAGAGCCCAGCAGCCTATTGTCAAGATACATTTAACAGTTTCATTGGGAGTCTATCTTTGATCTGGAAGCAGAGATGCACACTGCACTGCATCCTCACATCTAGATATGATAGTCTCCATTACACAGTCACCACACCTCAAGAGGTTTTGATAGTTCAACAGTCCTAAATGCTGCTCTCTTCTGTACCTCACCTCTGTCTGTGGGTTCCACCAAGGCAATACCCCTAGGAGCCCTGTTCCCAAGCCTCGCCTCCCACAACCTCCCTTTCTAGCACCAATATTAACTACTGAGCCTCTTTTTAAAAATGATTTTATGTATTTTTTGCTTGTTTGAAAGGGTTACAGAGAAGGGCCAACTCAATGGCTCAATTGGCTAATCTTCCACATGTATGTGCCGGCATTCCAGAGGGGTACCCGTTTGTGTCCCAACTGCTTCACTTCCTATCTAGCTCCTTGCTCGGCCCAAAGCCTTGGAACCCTGCACACGTGCATGGGAGACTGGCAAGAAGCTCGTGACTCTTGGTTTTGGATCAGCTCAGCTCTGGCTGTTGTAACTATTTGGGGAATGAACCAGCAGATGGAAACTCTCTCTCTCTCTCTCCTCTTCTAAATCTGTTCTTCAAATAAAAATATTCTTTAAAAAAAAAAAAACAGGTTCTTCAGTGCCCTCAGAGATTGCCCCACATCTGGGACCCTGGGATGGTTGGGAGGCTGGGTGTGACTTCTTTCTTTATCTCCTTCCTTCCCTCAGATACAGGAAGGAAAAAGAGAATGTGTAAACAATGGTCTTACCCACTTTCCTGTAGTCCTTGACCCTTTGAGCCCTAATCAACTATGTAAAGATCATAAAAACAAAACAAAACAAAAAAAAAAAAAACAAGCTCTTTCCACAAATGCCTTCCTGCCTTTATGTGTATGTGCCCAGCCCAGAATGAAGAGTGAGTTGACAGTCAACTTAGTAATTCTGGTTAAAGGTTTCAGGCAGGTTTCTGAGTAATCATATTGAGCTGTGTAAAAGCAGAACACAGGCCTACAAACATACATTAAATAAATTAGCCATAGAGAGAACTGAGGTGATTTATTCACATCACACTATGGATTAAAGCATAGGCTCTCAAATTTTAATGTCTGTGAGAAACACCTGCTAAGCCCCACTAACAGAACTGATGAAGTCAGGAGAGATGAAGTGGGGATTGAAATTCATCATATTTTTAGCAAGTTCCCAAAGTGGTCCTGGTGCTTTTGGTTTAGCAACCACACATTGGTGGCCACATTAGCATGTATTCTAATATTCCCAAGTCTCATCTGTGACGACATTTCCCCAAATCTCAAGGAGCTATCACTGTACCAACAAGAGTATCACAAAACCTTTCAAACCCAGAAAACCTAGCTTTGCACCTACTGTTCCTGATGGGTCCTTTCCAAAGTAACTTGTCTCCTGTAATTACAACTCCAAGGGAAGGAAGAAAAGTGGTAGGGCAGGGTCTCTGTCCCTATGCCAGTCAGGTAGCTGGCTTCTTGCACCTTTCCTGTCACCTCATGGAACATTTATCCTATGAGCAGTTCACACCCTTTCCAAACTCCTAAGCACCTTGATTGGATTATGCATGGGAGAGAAGGGACTGGGCCTGACAAGAAGACAGGCAATTTCTGCTCATGGGACATTGGTGCATCTCAGTAAAACAGGAGCTTAGGTAATGGTTCTTTTTGGTTGGCACACAGAGAGGAGGCTGGGCCTCAAACTTTTGAACTCCAATCCCTTGTCTCTTACCATCTGTGGAGCAGCAGACATGCTCACCTCTCAAGATATTATGCAGTTGTAAACAGAGCAGCAGGGACAATCATGGGAGTCTGAAGGTTCATTCCCCCAAAAGAAGGATTATCCTCAGTAGGTTGCAAGATTTAAGCTGCCATTTCCAAACAAACCTGCCCAGGGACACACATAACAGAGAACAATGGGCAAGTGCACACTTTTCATTGTTAGGGTCAGAAAACAACTAACATTGATCCTGGTGAGTCAGGCAGGATTTAGAGGGGGAGCTCCAGGACACCTTTGGTTCAGACTAAGGTATATCTGACCCCCACCCCCCACCTCTGGGTTCCACCTTGTCTTGCAGCAGCTGCCTTGGGAAACAGAAAACCTGTAGGGGACAGACGAAATGGGAGGGAGCAGGGACAGAGGAATTTTCAAGAGAGCTTGTGCAATCCAGGACAGTCCAGTTATGTTTTTAAGACAATCAGTCCTCCCAAGAGAAACACCATCCATTGCCTAATTGCCTCAGTGTGTATCCTTGATCTGCTATGAACTGGAAGGAACTAGGGATGGGGCAGCTTGAAGCTAAGGGCCAGAGCATGCAGCCAGCACACCCCCCAAACACTGTCTTCAAGTCATCTAGTGGTCTTAGCAGCTTGGTGTACAGAAAGTCTTGCCTCCACTTTTGTTCAGCCTCTTCTGATTTCTTTTGCTTGCTTTTTGTTGCAATTGAGGTCATGGGATGAACACTTTGGTCACATTTGTGACTCAGTTCCTTTGGTGTTGCCCCCAGAACTGCAAAAATGAACCTGGATATAATTTCAATTGGTTTTATCCAAAAATGGATCTGGGTTTCATTTCAATTCGTTTTGCCCCCAAATTGTTGTGAAAGTTATTCCATTTGGATTCTCCCAAGGCTACGTTGCATGCTAGGCAAAGCAGATACCCTATTCCATGTTATATCTCAGATTCTTATTGTCTGACCAGACTCATCCAATTGGATTATAATCGAGCATCAGGTAGTAATGTACAATTGCAGTTCCTGTGACAAAAAAGCCCATTAATTGCTATTTAATGAAGTAATGAATAACATAATCTCTAAAATTTGACACTATACTCTCCACCCCTTCAAATTCTGTTACGCCACTCTTTTTTCAAGTTCAAACAAAATCTGCATAAACCTTTGTTCTACAATATGTCCCAGCAAGTCTCCTTCTCTCAGATTCTTCACATCCTTTTTAACTTCAGCTGCTGAGTTCTCACTGGAGTGAAGGCAGCTGACAGTTCAAGGGCTTTTCAGTGAGGATTCAAAGGCTGGCAGCTGTGGATTTTTCAGTTTCATGTAAGGTTCCAGGAACACATATATACAAAAAAAACAGGTCCTCACCTAAAAATGTTATAAAAACATAAAACCAAATATGAATACTTTATGCAGTTTATAACAATAGCATTCTCAGGGAAAATACAATGTTCCTATCTCTGTTCTTAAAGTATTCCTATTCCCAGCTAAGTACCTGTTTGCACAGGATAAGGCAGTTAAGGACAATGCAGAAATAACAAAAAGAGAACATTCCATAGCAGCAGCCTCTTCAGGATGTCAATCAATTGGTAGCAGCCAGCCCAGATTTCCCACCTCTGAAATAAATGCAATTGTAGAAAGTGTAAAGATTAATTGACATATTCAACAGTAACTCATCTTTTTGGAAAACAATGTAAACTACACGCATACAAATTTAGGTAAAATACAAAATTGGGGGAAAGATCTATGTGTGGAAATATGTGATTCTTATTATGTCAAAAATGGCTCTAGCTTGGAGGTGAAAAATTTTTTTGTTTCATGACTTTGCTAATTTTCTTTGTTGTGACTGAGAATTACTGATCAGAGGCTGACACAATGGCCTAGTGGCTAAATCCTCACCTTGCATGTGCTGGGATTCCATATGGACCAAGGTTTGTACACTAGCTACTCCACTTCCCATCCAGCTCCCTGCTTGTGGCCTGGGAAAGCAGTCGAGGACGGCCCAAAGCCTTGGGACCCTGCACCTGTGTGGGATACCCGGAAGAAGTTCCTG